TCTGACTAATTTGCCACATATATGCCTTCAAAGAAAATCGGAATTCTTTGGACTGATCTACCGCTTGGCAGAGACTTTGGCGCCAGTTTGACTGATCACTACTGAGCGCCACCAGTGTGTCAATGTCGGTGTCCAGGCGTAGCAGGATGATCTTCCGAATGACGTTCAAAGTCACTGGAAGTTCTGTAGCACTGTCCAACATCAACATATCCATCTATCATCGAAATGAACCTGACGAACAGTCAGACAGTCAACGCTCCAGACGGAGGATGATGCTTCTGATGGGACACTCGGTAGGAATACACCGGGTATGGACGCGTAGCTCAACCCTATGGCGCTAAATCAGCGATAGCAAAACCTTCGGTTCGAATCTCGATCCGATCACCCGTCTTTCCTCCTTCCGAAACAGATAAACGGGAATCGCTAAGGCAGCGACGTAGAAGATTATCTGGTTTATCACATAGCAGGTACTGCTCTACCAAATATGGCGCTCTTGACTGATGGAATCGAAATGAAGATAAACGCTGCCGTATAAGATCCGCGAAAGAATAGTTGGTATCGCGATTGGCCAATAATGTCAGTGCAAGACAAACTGGCACATAATTGTTACCAGCTTTCCGCTTCTATTCCGTTTAACCATGGCCTGGAATATCTTGCCTTCCATAGTCCATTCTTGAGATTTGCTTCGCGGCACTCAGCACGTACGGAATCTCATGATAGAACGATACGCGGTGAGGTGTATACTTCTGGACAACGATGGTAGCGGTAAAGGCCTATTACGTACTACGGAATAGGCGGATAAAAGCGGAATAATGAGGCTTTGCTAACAGTGGCTGAGAGTGCTTTAAACGCAAATTTGTTCAAGACGAGAAAAGTTAAAATAATATCCCTGACGGAAGGATTTTTGATCACGAGACCTTTCTAGAAGTAAATATAAGGAAATGAAGAAAATGTCATTCTTAACTTGGATGGATAAAATCTAAGATATTTGACTTAAATGGCTCTGTTCAAATTTGCCATCCAAATCGTCATCCATCTTGATGGAAAAGGAGAATTTGTTTTTGCAAGGCGATGATGCAATTTCATAGCCAATCGTCACCATGTCCCAAAGGTGTTGATGCGATTACTCATGAAACGTGACAAGGGCGAAACGATAGCTCATCGGTGGTTAAGACCTTCAGGATGATCATGCGAAGTTCGCACTGAGACCGCCGGGTGGAAGAGACGTCTGAC